TTCATGCCCCAGTGCATCCCCTTGCTGGATGGGGACACCCTGCGGAGGTGGAGCTGCCTCTCCTACCAGGAGCTGGTGAAGGAGATCTGCTCCCTCTTCATCACAGCCGAGCTGGTCCCACGGAGCGTGCTCGATGGTGAGCCCCAGCTGGGCAGTTTACTGCTCACAGGGATGGGCAGGAGGATTTTGGGGTGTTCAGATGCATCTGCCTGTCTTTGCCCCATCCTCTTCGCAGCTCCCAGAGGATGGAGCCTGTTGTACCGCTGCCTGCTCCTTTCTGTACCCGTTTCTCCTCTGTCACCTTCCTGGGGCTTGTTACCTTCTGGAAAAGGTGTCCCCTGTGTGCAAATAGGGATTGTGGTGACTGCAGAAGTGATGCCATGGTCCGACTCACTGCTCCCGACTTGCCCTCCCACCAGGGCTTTCTGCTGCTCCATGCTATCATGGAGATCCAATTTTTAATGTTTTTAACATTTAAGAGCTATCACTTCCACCAGAGGGCAGCTACAACCTCTGTCTCAACAGTGCACTATGATAAAATTTGGGTTTCCCATGTTTTATACTTTAACACAGTTTGCTCTGACTGTGTTGTGTGTCCCCTGGGGTCTCTCACCATAGAGCTATTGAAGACAATAAAGCGGGCTTTATTGTGGTTTTTATTAGGTTTGCTCCTAATAACTAAGAATAACTTGTTGGGTAGCTGTCACCTCTCCTGCAACTGAGTCTCTTTGGTTGTGCAGAAAGCTTCCCAGAAGAGCACAGATGCAGGAAGCCATGGGCCAGAAAAAATACCCCTCTTACCCCATCTAACAACCCCTTTAATCATTTTCCCTCTAGACCTGATTGACAGGGCCTTCAGCAGGTTCAGACACAAGGATGTCGTCCATCTGTCCAGGCTGAAAGATGGGCTGAATGTTTTGGAGCTGTGGCATGGGGTTACTTATGCCTTTAAGGATCTGTCCTTGTCCTGTACGGGACAGTTTTTACAGTACTTCTTGGAGAAAAAACAGAAGCACATCACTATTCTGGTGGGTGAGTATGCCTCTTTGGGGGGGTAAAACTTCCAGGCAGGTCTTTACCTTGATGGCCATCATCCCACGGCCATCCTCATAGATACCCTGGGGTGGTATTGCCTCATGGGTGGCTGGTGAGTGATCTCCAGGCAATGCTAGGGTGGTTGCTCTAGCCAAAAATATCTCATGGAGCATCTCTGCATCTTTTACTTAAAGTGCAGCAATGCAGGTTTGACTGATGCATCAATCTTTTGCTTTTCTCCCTCACTTTGAAACAGGGACTTCAGGGGACACGGGGAGCTCAGCCATCGAGAGTGTGAGAGGGCAGAAGAACATGGACATCTTTGTTCTGCTGCCCAAGGGGTTCTGCACCCAGATACAGGAACTTCAGATGACCACCGTCATTGAAGACAACGTCCATGTCTTTGCTGGTTGGCATTACTGATGGACTGTCCACTTTATAGCCCTGCTGTGTCAAAAAAATGTGACCCTAAAAGTCTCAGGGGGCTGCTGCTTTAGCAGCTGCAGCCAGCCAGGTCATTGCCATTATGGCCACTGTGCCCAGAGGTTTGGCTAACAGGAGCCTATAGCAGAAGTCCCTACTCTGATGAAAAATGGTTCAAGTCTTCCTTTTCTCCTGGACACAGATCAGAATTGCCTCCATGCAGGTGGCTGGTGTTTAGCTACACTGAATTCAGCACCATTTCTTGGCACTAAAAGGATTGAGACACACCCCTTCCTTCTGTCCCCTCACCTTCATGGGTGGTCCATCCCCTACCTCTGTGCCATCCCCATGGCTGGGTGCTTGAGTTGTTCCGTTGCCTCCTCTGCTCAGCCAGGTCTCACCTTGACATCTCACAGGGGATGCAGGTGTTTGCCTTCCTGGCAAATTTATACTTGGCATAAGCAAAAGCCCAGAGTGCAATGTCTGCAGAAACCTCCTGGCATCCACATGGTGCTTTTCAACCCCTGGCTTGTACAGGCTCCGAGGCTGACGGGCAGCTCAGGACACCCCTGGCCGCAGCAAACCCCAGGGCTTGAGACTGGCCCTATTTCTGAGCAGAAATACTTTGTGCCTGATGCGCTGATGTTGGCAGATCTAATCTTTCCTTTCTCCTTTTGACAGCTCATGGGAACAGCGATGAAATCGATGAGCCGATCAAGGAACTGTTCGCTGATGCCGATTTTGCCAGAAAATACAATCTGATGAGCTTGAATTCGGTCAATTGGTCTAGGATTATGGTGCAGATTGCTCACCACTTCTATGCTTACTTTCAGTGTGCCCCGTCCCTGGATACCACCCCGCTGCCAGTGGTGGAAATTGTTGTGCCAACAGGAGGAGGAGGAAATATCACAGGTGAAGGGAAAAAAGATAGGTTAGATAGGGCAGAAAGAGAGTGCTGTGACCTATGGACTAAAAGCACTTTGCAGATTCTGAGTATTGCTATTTATTAAAACACCCACGCTCTGGTAGTATTTCTTCAGAACCACTTATATTTTATTACTCATGGACGGTTATTACTCATTCAGGTGTCACTGATGATTTGCAAGGTGTAGAAAATCCCAAACCACCCTTTGATCATGACTGTAGCTATCTTGAGGATGGGCACATTAGAAGTGGACAGAATGTGTTTGATCCAGAAAAGAGGGAAAATACTGTGGCTCTGATTTCCTAAGTGAGACATTAACAGAGGTGTGGAGTCCTGCTGGGTCCTACTCTGGTTTGCATGGTAGCGCGCAGTCAAGAGAACCACTCCTAATTGCATAATCTGTCCTTCTAAATGTGAGTCCTTGATTGCCTCCATCCCAAAGTAGGCGGACAACTGTCTTATGAAAGCAATAAAGGATTCAATGCACTCAGCTCCATTCGCTGTATTTCCAGGCTGCCCATCTGAGCCAGCATCAATAAGCTGCAAGAGCCCAAAAACTTCATCTCTCTTGCTTGGATGGCAGCTGCCTCACCTCTTGGTCCTCTGCTCGTCCATTTTCAAATGTGGAGATGCCCAAGGGTCAGTGTTCGATGGCAGGTGGAGCATGGCATCCCTGGATTTTATAATTTGGTGCTCTACCAAAACGTTAAAGACAAATATCTCAGAGTCTGTTGGGGAATGTCATTTGTGTCTGCTTCTGAACTATATGCACAATCAATTTCACAGAATCACAGAATCACAGAATGGCAGGGGTTGGAAGGGACCTCGGGAGATCATCCAGTCCAACCCCCCTGCTCAAGCAGGGTCACCCAGAGCAGGTTGCACAGGACATCATCCAGGCGGGCTTTGAATATCTCCAGAGAAGGAGACTCCACAACCCCCCCGGGCAGCCTGTGCCAGGGCTCTGTCACCCTCAAAGTAAACAAGTTCTTCCTCATATTCAACTGAAACCTCTTATGCGTCAGTTTGTGCCCATTGCCCCTTGTCCTGCCGCTGGGCACCACTGCGAAGAGTCTGGCTCTGTCCTCATGACATCCACCCTTGAGATATTTGTACATGTTGATAAAATCTCCCCTCAGTCTTCTCTTCTTCAGGCTGAACAAGCCCAACTCATCATAGAATGTTTTGGGTTGAAAGGGACCTTTAGAGGTCATTTGTACAGTGACTTCTTTGCTAAATCTCCTTTGAATGTTCCTTCATCACGTATACATGTATTTTTTCACTCCTTTTCTAGCTGGCTGTATTGCCCAGAAAATGGGTCTCCCAATTCGACTTGTTGCCGCGGTTAACAGCAATGACATCGTTCACAGGACTATTCAACATGGAGATTTCTCACTGTTGGAGAGCGTGAAGGCTACATTAGCATCAGCCATGGATATTCAGGTATGTAAGGAATTGGCCAAAATGGGAAAATACCAAATATTAAATATTTTGGTTTTCCTTGTACTCTGTTCTACCTGGTTTATGAAAGCATAATTCTGCCACTGGCAATGCCTCTCAGCGATGCGTTAAGAGGTGTGACTCATATTGAGCATTTATGCTGCAGACTGCTGAGCTGAAATAGATCCAACACCACCTTCTTCACTTTTCAGGGCCTGACTTCGTAATCTTCACTGTTAAATGCTGGGTTTCTGGGGTTTCATTACGTGCAAGGTTAGCAAGAGAGGGATGTTGTCTCGAAACATGACATTTACTTAGAAAATGATAAATCCCGTCATATCTCAAGGGCTTTGTTGATGCTCCACCAAAAGCAAGAGAAGAGACCAGGAAGAAGGTAGGAAAGCCCAGAAGAAAAGCTTCATCTATGGCCATCTGCAACTTGCTCAGTGCAAAACAAGTCTCAGCAGGCAGGCAAAGGCCTCAGAAGTGAAAAGTCATGGAGGTAAAGAAACCAAACACCTGGAAGCAAATACCTCCCATTTCATACCTACCTGTGATCCACAGGGATTGGGTCTGCTTCCAAACAAGTGACCAAAGTGTGAGACACTTGGTGTTGTATCGCTGTGGCCTTAAGCTTCCTAGATTTTCCAAAAGCTGTTCAAACACATTGGGAAGACCTGGGAGCCTGGAGGAACTGTCGTGCTTTGCAGTCAGTAAGTTAATATTCCCCCATTATCACCAGGCTCCTGTGGTCTGCAGCTTGACTTTCCTCCTGACGCAGGAATTTGTGGGGGTCCTCAGAGCTCAAAGGGTATCTGGGCTCCTCTCTCAGCCCATGGCCCTTCAATAGCACTGGCCTGCTGAGGCACCTAAGCATGTGCCAGATGTTGGGATCATGAAGGAAGGCAGCCAGGTGAGGTGATGTCCAGAGATTCCCGAGGAGCTGGATGGGTGTATCCCTCTGCACATCCCTCTCCACAGCTGCATGGGACATCATTGTTCAGCCCCCATCTGAAGCATCCATGCAAATATTTCCATAGCTCAAAAGATCATTCATGCTGGAGGGGAATTCAGGAGGTGTCTAGGTGGGACCATCTCAAAGTAGGGACAGCCCTGAGGTCAGACCAGGTTGCTCAGGGCTTTGTTCAGTCAGGTGTTGGAAACCTTCAAGGATGGAGAGAGCACAACCTCTTTAGATTGCTTCTTCTGCAGACTAAGCTAAAGCAGAGAAAACTTTCCAGTTAGACACTAACTGAAGAGTTGAAGGTGAAGCATAAAGCCTAGTGTGGATGTGCCTTGTAAGGAGCAATCCCAGGAGAATCACAGCAGATGCTGTGTCTTTGCAGTACCTCAAGCCAACCGGGGGCTGTTCTCTGGCCCTGAGGTCAGGAAGCACCATGCGGCTCATGTCCATATGCCAAAACTTTCCTTGGGAACAGCCCCCAGCATGACCTGTCCTCCAAACTGGGCCCCAACATTCTTCTGGACAACTCTAGTGGCATGGGACGAAACCAGACTGGAGAGCTGGCTAGTGACTTCAATGACAAGGCCAGTGTTTGCACCAGTGTCCTGGCCCAGTTCGACTTACTGATGTCAATGTAGTGATTGGTAGTGGAAACCATGAGGCTGGTACAAATGGAGGATGAAGGGGAAGGTCTGGATGTGGGAGTAGCAGAAGGAAGGACAGGAGAAGGGGTGTCAGGAGGATGGTGCTGAGGGCACCTCCAGTAGCAGGTCATCCAAGTCCAGGCACACTGCCATGTAGCTTCTCAGGACAGCCAGGTTGGGAGGCAGAGGACAGCCTAAAGCAGGGGACAGCCTAAAGCAAAGGGCAGGCTACACCCAGACTAGACTGAAGATTACAGGCTGGAGGCTCTGGGAGACGATGGTGGGAAGATGAAGAACAGGACTGGGGCCATAAGCCAACCAGATAAGGACACAAAAGGCTGAGTAAGTCCTGATGACTCGCCAAGGTAGGACAGGATGGAGAGACAAAAGGTCACAGGCACTGTCAGCTGCTAAAAGGTGTAAAGAGCTCATCCAAAACCAGCACTTGAACCCAGGAGATGTGATGAGGACTCGGTAATTGGTGCGCCTTGTCCTGTCTGTCCTTACAAGGTATCTTGGCCAAACCACCTGGATTAATGTTTCTGGGTGCTTGCGAGCATGCAGGAACGAGATGGTGAGCGGTGAAATTGGTTTGGGACCCTCCTGTGTGGTCTTGCACTGAGTTTTGCTGCAGTGTTGCAACACCAATTGCTACATAGTCATAGAGGCCAGTCAGGCCCTATATGTGCCTGGTATGTTCATGAAGATTATCGGTCAGCCCTGCAGGGAGCTGGGTCTCTCGTTAAGTCACACGGGCTCTGGGTGACTCACAGCAGCATCTGCAACACTGAGTAAACATCTGGATATTTCTGGTTCTCAAATACATAGTGTGTTATTAGCCTGGGTTCCTCAAGGTGATTGTACAGATGTGGTCACACTGTTGATTTATCAGTCATCCCTTCATTAGGTTTGGTTTTTTTTTTAATCTGATGGTCACTGCCAGACTGCTCTGACAGCTCAGAGGTCTGAAAGGCATCACGTTCCCAAAGACTTGTCTTGGGATGTGGGTGTGCAGGGGGAAAACACAAAGCCCACCCCAGCTTCCACCAAGAAAAATGAGGCAGTAGGACCTCAGCCCTAATTAGACATCAGAGAATCCACACAGATGCTCTCCCCCTGAAACAGATGCTCGAATTTCCACTGCTCACCTATTGCCTTGTTATCCCAGGAGCCTTACAACGTGGAGAGGATCCTCTGGCTGCTCTCGGGCTCCAACAGCCGCCTGACAAAAACACTGATGGAACGCTTCAGCGCGTCAAAAAGCCTTAAGCTGCCGGAGGATTTGCACAGAAAGGTCAGTTCCTCACGCATGCAGCGCCCGGTGTGAGTGTGGGTAAGGAGATTCACCACTACCAGTTGTTTTCAACTCATTTTCAGAATAAAAAAATCATAGTGGTGAGTTTCCAACCAAAATTTTAAGTGTGAGGCCAGAGGAGTTTTGTTATCAGTGTGTGTGCATGGGGATGTTAAAACCCCCTTTTAAATTCTTTTTTTTATAAAGAAAAGTCTTTCTTCTTTGCAAACTGATTAAAAACTGCCTACAATTATTTAAGTAGAATAACCCCTTAAGTAGAATAACCACCCCTCCCTTGGCCACTCTGGTGCTGGCATTGGCTGTGCACCGAGGCATCGTGCTGCGAGCGCTGGCACAAACCAAGCGTGCCTTTTGGGAGCGCGTCTGCTGGTTTTGGTGCTGCAATTCAGCCTCCGTGTTGTGGTAAATGGGAGCACGAACGCAAAGCAGAGAGAAATACAAGAGAAAACCAAACATCTGAGTTGCGAGGCTCTTCAGGACAGATGCAAAGACCTGCCTCTTCCCACCCAACACACACTGTCCCCCACCGAGCATCCTTTGCCCAGCACCCGCTCCTGCTTGCACAGCAGCAAAATAAATAACAAAACCTTCCATTATTAAAAGAAAGAAGAATTGTTACACTGAGGTGGGTTTTACAACCCTCAGAAACTCCCTCAGAGCATGCAAATAGCAGTGCAGAGCTGAGGAGCTGAGTCTCGGCTGCTCTCCACCCACGCTCCCGGCACCTGGGGACGGAAACTCCTTGCTCTGGCCCTGCAAGCCATTTCCAGCAGTGCCTCCCCCAGCTGCAGCAGCAACCCCTTTTCCTTCAGTCCCTGAAGGACTCCATCCTCCAGACACCCTATTTTGAACTACTTTGCTGAGTGCCGGTGGCGCAAGCCTGGCTGGGAACGTGTGGGGTGGTGATGCCCTGTGCAAACCTCCCCGTTTCATAGAATTATAGAATCATAGAATCGCAGAATCATAGAATGTTTTGGGTTGGAAGGGACCCCTAGAGGTCATCTAGTCCAACCCCCCTGCAGTGAGCAGGGACATCTCCAACCAGATCAGGTTGCTCACAGCCCCGTCCAACCTGGCCTTGAATGTTTCCAGGGATGGGGCCTCCACCACCTCTCTGGGCAACCCATTCCAGTGTTTCACCACCCTCATTGTAAAGAATTTCTTCCCCCACGTCTGCAGCTCTCTGAGACCCTGGGCTCATGCTCGGCCTCCGATGAGGACATTGTGCGAGCCATGCAGCGCAGCTGGGAGGAAAACCGCTACCTGCTGTGCCCCCACTCCGCCGTAGCTGCTCACCACCACTACTCGCAGCCAGATGGGTAAGGACAGCCGCGCTCGGGAGCATTGCAAATGGGAACACCACTTCTCCCTTTGCTCTTGCAGCATCTCCAGCTCAGGGCTTGCTTACATCAAAAGTTTTCTTGCTTTTCTTTCCTTTTCAGCACGCCCCGGTGTTGCTTAGCTCCAGCTTCCGCAGCCAAGTTTCAGGATGCCCTGCTCCAAGCTGGCCTGGTTCCTCAGCTCCCCCCTGAAATCACTGCCTTAACAGCAATGGAGACCAGGTCCACTCCCCTGGAGCGGGGGCAGGACTGGGCACGGGTGCTCCGGGAGCAGATCGAAGCCACAGCACAGCAGCGGGAGGCACGGGGGAGCCGACCGACTCCGCCGGGACAGCGGGGGATCACTGGGCAGGGAGTCATGCAGACCTGAGCTACCAGGGTACGGCTGGCAGATG